TTTTTTTTTTTTAATTAAAAATGCATTAACAATAATAGCTAAAACCATTGTTAAAGGAACCATTAGTAATGACTTCTAAATCATTAATATAGAGATTGAATTTAGTAGCCAATGGTTGGATTTTGATAAAATAAAAACATGAAATGCTTAAATAACCAATAGTTTCTGATGTAGGGAGATCGACATAAAGGAGATCAAAAGAGCAAAATAGCTCAAAGAATCAAACAATGAAAATACTGTATTTTTCAAAAATATTTCATATGTATCATCCTAATTCCTAATTACATTAATAACTTGTAAATATAAATACTATAGAAGATTCTAAAAAGTTCTAGAAAGAAGGAACCAAAGCTAAATAGAATATATTATTTCTATGGCATCATAATCCTAAGATGCGTCACTTTCGTTTTGATTTCCTTCAAATTTTTTTTTTTTTTTAAGAAAATGTATAATGGAAGGTCACTATTGTGAGAGCTATCAATTTCAATTATCAGGCAAAATATTAATAGATATGTGACTTAATTGGTATCTCTCACATAATTTGCGCTAATAAGAACTCAAATCATGGTGCATTAATGTATGCATCCTGGGATACATTTGTAAAATTAAGGGTACCTTTATAAATTTACATTTTTTATCATTAATTTAAGAGCCACAATTAATCATGGATGACTAAAGATTCGTTAGGAACAACTTTCTTATTGTTTTATTTTTTTTCAGATTGTAATCATAATTTTTATTTGACCATTGCTTTTTCATTGATTTAAAAAAAAAAAGACAAAGAATTTATTTTCTACAACAATTTTAAAAAATTACTTTCTTTACATCAATTTTACAAAACATAAAGGTTTCGATTGGGACTATTTTTCTATTGATTCTTAAAATAGCTTTCTAGTTTAAAAATTAAAATTTTGATACTAAAAAATTATTTTAAGCTTAAGTAAGAAAATTGTTCTAAATGAACTCTAAGAATATCATCCCAAGTCCCAACCAAATTGTTTTTTCATTGATTGCAAAAAAAATTTATACTAAAAATTTATTTTAAGATATAATAAAAAAATATTCCAATTGAAGCCTAACTTTCATATAACAAGAATGAAAACAATCTCATTTAGCCTCTTCTACCTAAACAATTATTACGTCCGGTCTAACCGGACGTAGCTTTACGTTCGGTCATCACTGAGTTACTCGGTATTTGCTCGGTATTGCTAGGTATTGCTTAGCAATAACGAGAAATACCGCTCTGTGAAGACCAATACCAAGCATACCGAATTTTTCTAGTATTGCTCGGTGTTGCTCGGTATTACTCGGTATTTGTCTTCACATAATGGTATTTCTCGTTATTGCCGAGCAAAATCGACAAATACGTGATTTTGTGCCTGCTATGTGGCACAATTTAGTGCCGACCAAACATACCTCTACATACGGTGACCGGACCAAATAAAAGTTCCTTCTACCTAGTTGACAAGAGTTGTTGCCAGTACGACTCAGATGAAGCGTGACTCATTTTTCCAATAAAGTTTGAGTGGTGTTGACGAGCAGTCAATAGAACCACGGGCTGATTTCTTCTATCCTACGCACTGCTTTATCTTGGTAGTGGGTAGACTTGTAAGTCAGCCTGCCAAAAAAACACATGAGAAATAAGGGGTCCCAGGCAGGTCATCTTAGTAAAGAAATTTCAGCGCTAGAGAAGAACTTAATACATCTCAAAAGCAGAGGACGTATATGAACTGAGAAAATATAATAGAACTAATAAAATAAAATAGATTAAAGAGAATAAAAACTATTTTGTATACACATAGCGTCTAGTTCCATTCTTTATACTAGTAAAAAGAAAAGAGTCTAATAAGTATAGATTCATAAAATATCATAACATTTCTTTTCTTTCTTAAAAACATAATTCCTCTTTTTAGGCCTTTGAATTGATACCCTACCCCGATGTTCCGGTTAGACAATGAAATGTTTCAAAATAGAAATAAAAGAATGAAAGGATCCGATAGGTTTGATCTTTAAATCCAAATTATATTTGTTAGCTCAAATGGGTTTTTGAGTCTTCATCGAAAGGAATAAATGAATAGGAAACCGATTACAATTGATCTAATTGAGATCTCTAGAATATGGAAAGAATATTTATTCTTTTTTTTTTCATTCGAAAAGGGTCATTCTTCTATGTTCTATTCTAAAATTCTGAGTATTAATTAAGAGATTTTGAATTTAAATCTTATATATTTATATATGATATGTATATGAATTTAACTTAATTGATCTAAATATTCCGAAAAAACAATAGGTAGCCCGCATTCAACTCCAAATTTTTACAGCTGAAAAATTGGCTGGCGACCCATAACGGTTTGATTCAAAAGTTAGATTCTAAAAAATAAATATTTTTAAACAAAAATAAAAGCAGAAGCAGATGCCCCATTATTTTTACTTTTTTAAAATTTATCTTTTAATTTTAATATTCATCTTCTCATTCTCTCCACACATAAATTTGTATCAGAAAATATAAAAAAGTTGATGCTAATTTAGTTGATTAAAAATTCTAAAAATTATTTCAACATTTCGTCAGCATGTCTCCAGTGTTTCTGCTCCTCCTATAAATACCCATTGCAGGTTTACACATTCATAGATTTCAACTAAAACGCTTGATATCTATGGCCGGCGAGGTGACCGACGTGAGCTCGCCACCGGTCAAGGTGGCCTTCGTTTCGACGCCACCGACCAGAATGCTGTCACCGCTGGAAAAGTCGATGGCAGTGACCACACCGACGGGGAAGGCGGTGGCGAGCATGCGAGGTTATTTGGAGGAGGTGGAGCAGATAGCCAAGCTCGACCGGCAGGACGCATGGCTTCCGATCACAGAGTCCAGGAATGGCAACGCCTTCTACTCTACCTTCCACTGCCTCTGCTCAGGAATTGGCTTTCAAGTTCTGGTGCTTCCTGTCGCCTTTACCTTTCTTGGTTGGTATGTCTTTGTTCATAGCTCTCAATTTCCTCTTTGCGAATTCCTAGCTGATTCAAGGTAGATGGGTAATCGGGAATATGGAAGGTCAAAGGCTCGTTTCTTTGACTTTTGGATGATATTTAAGGCCATTCCATCCATAAATACTAACAGAGCAAGCTCTCACAATTTCCACTATTAAGTTTGATACATCATTAAAAGATTTTCCTGATCGGGCAGGAATTTTAAGGCAAAATCAAGCGGAAAACTTCCAAAATTAAAATTGTGACAATCCGAACTCCAATATCAGCAAACTTACAGTTGAATTGAACGTTTCAAAAATACGAACCCGACGACACCAAATTCGACTCAATCCGACTCCAAATGGGTGCACATCAAGGGCCCGAAGTGCTGTTGGAAGGTTAAAGCCACAATTTGGATTACCAAATGGTTTTGAAACATGACATGCTTATAGTCGAATCGAGCGGCTCGACAAGACGAATCCAACGAGCCCAAGATCACAGAATTCCGGCATCATTAAGACCTTTAAATGTCTAGCGAACGGTTCAAGATCAAAGGATATATTCAATATCGGTATCGCCGTGTATATTTTAGCCCGCAACAAAGTTGGACTTTTATAATATGATATTTGATTATAAAATTGTCTGCTGATAAAAGCAGATCCAATGTTCGTTTAAAAAGCTCTTTAATTTCCTCTTAATTCTTCCATTTTTTTTTATCTTCTGAAAGATGGCCTCTTTAATTATATACTGAAGAGTAGAGGCATAGTTAATCATAGACCCAAATTTTCAAATATTTCTATCTCCAAATACTCCAAATATAATTGACGGAGCAGCAAATAGCAAGCTTGAAGGCATTAGAAATAGATTTATTCTTCATTATTCAAAAAAATTATACGAATTTAGGCTAAACTTTCAAAGTTTTGTAGGATATGGGGGACGCTGTGCTTGTCCTTGGCATTCATCTGGCAAATCTACACTCTCTGGCTGCTTGTCCAACTTCACGAATCAGCCACTGGAATCCGCTACTGCAGATATATTCATTTAGCGAAGGATTGCTTTGGTGAGCCCATCTCCATTCAATCACTCCTGCACTTTCGACATAAGTATTGAAACAAAATTTACTTTGCGTAAAGGGTGTCAATTTTGGGTCACGGGTCGGGTTTGGGTCGAACCGACCCAGCACTATTCGGGTCAATCTGAATCCGACCAATTTTTGCGAACGGGTCGGTCTTTTGGACCTGAACCCGACCTGCTTCAGGCCCAGGTCAACTGACACGATCCGAATGACTCGGAACCGTGAAAAAATTGCTAGTTTTCGGGTCAATTTTGGGTTTCCGGGTCAAGACGATTTTCATGTCAATTTTTGGGTCGGGTTCGTGTTAAATTTCTGGTCAAAGGATTAACCCAAACCTGACCCAATTGCAAGATATGTTTATGATCTTAATTATCGTCCATAAACAAAATTAGAAGAGTAATTTAAATTAGGAGCATGAAGAACTTTTACAATACGTAAGAGCTAAAACCTGGCCAGCTAAATCCAAGTGGCCTGAAGGTCAACTCCGAAGGAATTCAGAACCCATTAGTTGTTAGAGAGAATTATTTTCACAAAATTATTTTACAATTTAGCGCTCATCATTCAAACAAAATTCCTAAGGCCAGAAAAAAGCTCAATCAATCTTCATTTCAGGAAAAAGGCTTGGCACCCTACTTGCCAAATTCCCGACCATGTACCTTTCGGGCGGAACCTGCTCTGCCCTCGTCGTCGTCGGTGGCGGGAACATGAAGCTCTTCTTCGAAATCGCATGTGGTCCGACATGCCAGTCGGAGCCGCTCTCTACCATCGAGTGGTACCTCGTCTTCCTCTTCATGGCCGTGATCCTCTCGCAGCTCCCGAATCTCAACTCCCTCGTCGGCGTCTCCCTCGCCGGGGCAATCACCGCCGTATCCTATTGCACCATTATTTGGGCCGTCTCGCTCAGCCTGGGAAGGCTTCCCCACACTTCTTATACTCCTGTGGACGGCAGAGGAAGAATCAATAGAATGCTTGACATCGTCAATGCCATCGGCATCATCGCGTTTGCCTTCAGAGGCCACAACCTTGTATTAGAGATACAGGTCACAAAATTTAAATTTTTTTCCCCCTCTTTTGATTCATCTATTAGTAATTGCTCATCTGAATTGATCTGACAGGCTACAATGCCATCGACTCCAAAGCATCCTTCTCGCATTCAAATGTGGCGAGGAGTGAAGGCTGCGTACCTCGTCGTCGCGTTCTGCTTTTATCCAATTGCAATCGGAGGCTTCTGGGCATACGGTAACAAGGCAAGTAGAAGAAGATGGCGCTTCTTAATTACACTTCTAATCTTTTCTATATATCTTAACAGTTCTTCCATGATCTAGCTAAAGAACGCTAATGGCTTGCAGATACCTCCGAGCGGGATTCTTCACGCACTGTTTGCATTTCACGGCAACGATACATCTCGTGTTGTTCTGGGTTTGACGTGCCTCCTAGTAGTCATTAACTGCCTGAGCTCCTTCCAAATCTACGCAATGCCGGTTTTTGACAACCTGGAAGCAGGGTACACCGGAAAGAACGACAAGCCTTGCCCGCGGTGGCTGAGATCGGGGTTCCGAGCAGTTTTTGGATCTGTGGTGTTTCTGATAGCAGTGGCGTTTCCTTTCTTATCGGACCTGGCGGGTCTCCTTGGGGGAATTGCTTTGCCGGTGACGATGGCTTATCCCTGCTTCATGTGGATAGTGATGAAGAAACCGGAGAAGTTCAGCGCAGTGTGGTGTGTTAACTGGGCGCTGGGGAGCTTGGGGATGGGATTGAGTGCGGTGCTGGTTGTAGGAGGCTTGTGGAGGTTAATTGATGTTGGTCTTAGCGTCCGGTTTTTCAAAGCTCAGTGATTGTGTACGAGCCTGTGTAGTATTTAGAGGTCACATCATATTATTTTGGGTAAATGATCAAAATTTATAATTAGATGATAAATCTGTTTTAATTAAATTTGACTGCGTAATTTTCCCTCTTAACTTTTTTTCTTAAACAAGTAATCCTCTTGTTATGCTTTCTTAACTGAGGAAGGAGCACTTCTTAAGTAAAGGTGTCAAAATTGGGTTGTTGATTGGGTTCGGGTCGGACCCGTAACTGACTGACCCTTTTTGACACGACCCTAACCCAACAAGTTTTTGCAAGCGTGTCATAAAATTTAACCCGGACCTGACCCATCGGGTTACCGGGTTGACCTGATCAGACACGAAACGGGATTTCAATCGAAGAAGCACGTGAATGGGAGGAAGAACGTTGTAGTTTGTGACGTCACTCTAGTCGAAGCCGTCGTCAGACTGAATTTTAGAGGGAAGAACGTCATCCTCGAGACTGGAAAGGAATTTCGACGGGACGGAGTACTCGACGGACAACCTAGGGTTTAGCCTAGGAAGGATTGCTGCCTAGTGTTTAGCCTAGGGTTAGGAAGGAATGTCGTCGTCGTCGACAAGTTAACGGGGACGTTGGATAGCGGTCGGCGGGGCCGCGGGACGGTTCTCTTTGAGGAGTTCGCGAGTCGGCAGTCGGGTTGACTCATGAGTCGTGAGTGCGGGCAGGAATTGATTCGGCAAATGAAATTTCGGATCGATCCGTGGCATTGTCGGGTTTCCGGGTCAACTTGAACCCGACCCGATTTTTAAAACGTGTCAATTTGTTCAACCCGAACCCAACCCATTTAACAAATAGGTTGACCATAGCCCGAAATTTTCAGATCGGATTCGGGTCGGATTTTCATATCTTGTCAAATATTGACATCCCTATTCTTAAGCCTTCTTGCAAGAGAGAGAGAGAGAGAGAGAGAGAGAGAGAGAGAGAGGGGCAGGGAAAATGATTTGTATTGAATTGATCTTAACAAGGGCACGTTATACGTTATACATCATTCTGCAATCTCTATTCATAACAAATCCACCCCGATCTGATGTCTTGTGAAACATCCTAACTAAAACCTGACCACTACACAACAATTCTCTCGTTTTATCTCTACTTGACTAATTATATGAGTGACTGAAAATATCGGTCTTCACTCTCCCGGCTTGAATTCCTCTGCATACAGTAATATTTCACTAACAAAGATCAAGGAAAACGATTGAAATCTGCGTATAAGAGGTGTCATGGTTAATAATTGGAGGAACTTGAATATAAATATGACCTTAAGGCAATTAAGGGAGTAAAAACTAAGTCTTCTTTAGGGATAAGTTTTTGTCAGTATTTTTTCAATATTTTTTTTTTTAAAAAAAATTGCATCAAAAAATAATAAAAAAAATTATCCCAAATTAAATCTAAAGACGGCAAAGCTAATTTTGACCTGCATTATATCAATTTCGAGATTGATCCCAAATAAGTGATGCATATGGTTATGATTACAAGCTCTCTAGTGTTTGATGACACGATAGAGTTAAGTCAAATCTACCTAATTTTTTTTTTTTTGGGACATTTAGGCCATTTAAGGCAAACTCACACACACAACGCAAACACAAAGACTCGAACCCTGGACCTCTTAGTTGGAAGCCTAAGCTCTCAACCAATAGGCCAAGGAGAGTTGTGTTCTACCTAAAATTTGTATTGTAGTTTTTTTTTTTTTTTTAGAAAAAAATAATCAATATATTAGAGTCAAAAAGGGTTACAACAGATACAGAACTAACACAATAAAAAGGATACACCAGATAAAGAGCAAACACAAAAAAAAAAAAGCTAATTGAAACCAAGGAGAGCGGGCCTCAATAATCAGCCGAGACTCCCTAGTATCCCTGGAGCTCTCACGGACCATGCAATAAGGTGAATAAAGCGCACCAGTCAATCCACCAATTTGAGAAACATCACCAAAGGTTTTGTCACCAGCTCAGACGGACCGAGGACACGAAAGCCCCAGCCTACATCATTTGCCCTACAATCCTCCACAACGACCAAAACAAACAAATAAGCAATCCAGATAAAACAATAGGGAAAACTCATTATTGAAAAAGGGGTTATCTTCTTCTCCTGCCTCTCCCACGAAATTTCCTACGAGATGCAACAGAGAGGACAGGTCTATCTCGAACCAGTTTAAACTCTTTTCCAGGGTCAGAGCCACCACAATAATCCGAATATGAATCGGATTCGGATTCATATTCAGACGAATAATGCAACCAATCAACATGAGACCTTACATCCAATCCAAAATTAACACCCACATGGTACATCAGTGCTTGGGGGCATCAAATTCACCGGCACATTAACAACATTATTAGCGCAAACCAGCAATCCTTGCTCAGCCATATTTTCCACCCGTCCACACTCCTCGTTGAGATCCACAGACACAACAGTATTTTCCACCCTTCCACAATCCTCCAAAACACCCAAAACAGGAGAAGCAACATTATCCAACCCACCGGAATCCCCATTAAGACTCAGCCCCGAGTCAGACAAAACCGAAGCTTCGACACCCAAAACAGGCACCGGAGACGTTGTGGGATCTAACGAACCAAAACAGGACAACAACCCAAAACATCACTATTTTCCGGCACCAGAGCTACGATCGGAAGAACTCCAACCTCAGCACTAGAAAACACACCCAAATTCTCACCTACCAACGGGGCAAGAGATCCCACAACACCAGGAGAACAAACCGGTGAGTCAACAGTGGGCAAGGTAGCGGGCACAACCTCAATATTAGCAATATCACTACCCAAAACCTCCAGCACAAAAGGAGCAGCGACAATATCAACATTTACAACACAGTGGGTGGCTAAATTTACGTTCGGAATAGAAGAATCGTTAGGAATCACAGCCGAAGCAGGACGGCAATTACCCGAGTATGTCCAATACATTTACATGCAGCACAGAAATGAGGAAATTCATCTAAAACCACCTCATGGACATAACCTAAAGTTTCAGAACCTAACCAAACTTGCTTAGGATAAGATTTTGTTATGTCGAGTTCGACTAACACATGCGCATTTGAAGGACGGGAACCAACAGAAGTTGCTTCATCAATTTTCAAAGGCTTGCCAAAAATCTCACCAAGCCCAAAAAGAATCCGTGGGGAGAAGAAGTGAGGACGAAGATGCGGAATTGAAATCCAGATCGGGATAACCGGCGACACAACACCGATATCCAAGCTAGACGACTATTTTGTTAATTTCATATAGCAATTAAAGACAAGGATTGCTGGTTAAGGTATTGATGAAAGCTTGAACGCTTCCAACTTGTATTGGAGAGGTGTTTATCATCATTCGTTAACTAAACCTAATAAAGTAAAACATGGGTTGATCAATGTTTGATCAGTTGATTTTATGTTATTGGCAGAGCCCTTGGTATCCATTGGGTACCCACGTTATGCGTGGGCGGGCTTAGCCCACCCACATGCACTCATGGCTTCTTTCGAGATGCTGTACACACCCATACCCACCCAATTTCTATGCTTTTTGAACGTATTCTATCATAGATTGATGGCATTGAGGCTTATGACCATTTTCTCTACTTGCAAACTTTCTTGCATCTCGGAATTAACCGTGATCCCAGCATATGTTGTTCAGTGTTGTGCATTGCGCAAAGAGGATTACGACAATATATGTCATACTGTGATTTGCAATGTCAATTGATTTATCCCCTCATGTTGAGTACCCAACTATACCAACCAACAGGGTCATGGGCATACCCATACTCATTGCGTATGGGTTGGTATGTGGGTGGATGTGGGTAAGAGTATGGGTACCCAGTACAAGGCTCTAGTTATTGTTCACTTAGAAAAAGTAATTATACCTAGAATTCAAAATAAATTTCATAATCACCTAAATTTTAATATATTTAAATTAAAAATTAATATGAACTTATTTGAAGATGGTTTACATGAAACAAATTTAGGCTTTGTTTGGGACGGGTTTTTTACTATTTTTAAAGCAATTTTTTATTATGGGCAAATTATTGCATCAGGTCACCTGACGGAGAGATCCGTTCGGATCTCTCTCTGTCTACAGTAAAGCGCAAGTAAAGCGCAAGTGTGCTACAGTAACCTGCGCTTTACTGTAGACAGAGAGGATCCGAACGGATCTCTCCGTCAGGTGACCTGATGCAATAATTTGCCATAAAAGTAAGCTTCATATAACTCTGTGATATCGGGAGTATGAGTGGGCCGGAGAATTGGGCCTATTTAGGAAAACAATTAGCACAGCTCTCCACGGCCTAGGCTTGGATATATCTCCTCCCATTCCTGTGCAGCAGAAGCTTGGGGAGATGATATTGTGACATAAGTGATTTAATATAAATATTCTTTTAACTATAATTAAATAATTAAATAATTTATAGTTAATAAGTTTAATGAAATTATTTAATCAGATAATTCTTTTCTTATTTTGTTTTGTTTTAGTTATTATATATTTTATTCCAAGTGGAACATAATGGAGATAAGCAAGGAAAGGGGCTCCGAGAACTCGATAGAGAGGAGCTAGGGCATCTTCATTTTTCTTCCTGTGAGAGAAAGAAGAGGAGAAATATTTGGATTTTTGTCTGTGAAAAGGAAAACCTTTGGTTTTTTCACGTCGTATTCCAAAATGTATATCATACATCATTGCATGCAATTTCATCATTGAAAATATTGAAGTTGATAATGCGACAATGGTTGAAGATATTAGCCAGGAAACAACTTTTAGAAGACTGAATTATAGAGGACTTTGTGCGACAATGGTCAGAGATTATAATTAAGCAACGAAGGTTGGAGGGCCCTAGTTCGACAACTATGGTTAGAGGTCGGAGGACCATAGTTGGGTAACATAAATAAGAGGATCATAGTTGAATGTTGATGGTCAAAACACCATAGTCGGATGACAATGGTCAACGGATAATAGTTGGTAGAAGATATAGGGAGGATAATAGTCAAGCGACGGTGGTCAGTGAATCATAGTTGAGCGGCTATAGTCGAAGGACAATTGTTGGGCGATGATAATTAGGTGATCGTAGTCAAGCAAATA